ACACAAAGCAAAAGAGAATTGAGTCTAGGAGGTGACAGGGGCCTGCTGGGCTACCTGGAAGATGGTAGCCTTGATCCTAAAAGCATTGGGAAGGCCCTGTAAGAGAGTGATATGATCAGATTTGCATTTAGATGATCACTCTGCCCACTTGTAGGAAGCAGTGGGTGTAATAGACTCCTGCAGTCTAGAAAGATGATGGAGGCTTGGTCCTGAGATCGGCAGTGGAGATAAGGGGGACAGGTGTGAGATGTATTTTAGACATGGGATGGGCAGGTTTTGCTGGGGTAGGTGAGGACAGAGGAGGAATCAAAGATAGTGGCCGGGTGTCCACCTTGCAGAAGTGGGATATGGGTGCCTTCGCTGAGATGGGAACCTAGGCAGAAGAGGAGAGGTGGAGGCAAGCTCTTGGGTTCCTGTTCAGACGTGTGGCATTTCGCGTCCTGAAATAGCAGGGGAGTCACCTTGTCTAAAGTTATTTGTGGCTGTGATGTCTCCAGTGGGAGTTGGGCTCTGGAGGGCTGGGGCCTGGCTGAGGGCATCCAGTCCAGCCCTAGGTCTGAGTGGGGCCTCTGGCGTGTTGGCCAAGTGAATGATCCTAAGTGCAACCCAGAGAATCTCCTTCACTCCAAGAGAGCCTCTGAAGCGGGAACCATGAAGAGGGCGGGCAGTTGGGCTGAGGAGGATTTGGTCAGTCTGGGTAGGAAAAGCCCCAGAGGGCTGAGCCTCCTCCCGGTGATGGGAACTCCTGGGTTGCCAGCAAACATACATCCTTCAGCCAAGCCCGGGGACCGGAGGCCTGACACGATACGGTGCTGGAGCATTCTGGGGAGGCTGGGGCCACGTCCCGAGAGTCCGAGAGGGCCCTGTGACCCAGATGTCGCCTCCCCCTCGCCCGGGCCGCGCAGCGTGGGAGGAGGCGGCAGCTGCAGGCCGGGTGGAGGGCGGGCGACCGGCGCGCCCGGCCCGTGGGAAGCGGCGGCATCTGTTCTTTCCACGCTCGTTCCCAGCGGCTCCCTCTGAAACCTAACCCGCAGGCCCTGCCCCGCCGCCGCCGCCGCCGCCGCCCGTGCCCTCGCCCGCCCCGCCCGGGGGATCGGGTTGCAGGAGCGGGTAGGCCGGGCTGCGGTTCCCCCCGACGGCCGCGGCAGCAGCGAGGGCGAGGGGCGAGGGGCAGTAGGCAAGGCCGAGCGGATCAGGTCCGGGCGAGAGCTAAGCCCCCCCACCCATGGCCCCAGCCGCCGGCGACAATGGGGCAGGAAGCTCTGTGCGGGGGAGGAATTGGCCCGGGGAGAAATGAGCCCCCCGCCCGCCCCCCCACCCCGGGAGAAGGGGAGAGAAGGCGTCCCCACCCACGCCTGCCCTGCGCCTCTTCCCGGCCTGGGAGACCTCGGCCGCCTGGGAGGGGTCTGTGCCCGCCCACAGCCGGCCTCCGAGGTCAGCCCAGGCCAGGGAGAGGGTCCTCTGAAAAATCAGTCTTTCTTTTCCTCTCCAGCCAGATGGCCCGGCCGCTGTCCACCCCCAGCCCTTCACAAATGCAAGCCAGGAAGAAACGCAGAGGGGTGAGTGTGTATCTCAGCAGAGCTGTCCGACAAATGTTTGCCCTGAGTTCCCAGGGGCCTGGCGCAGAGAACCCTGGTCAGAAACACCACCGGGAAGCGACTCTGCCTGGGTTCAAGTCCCAGCTTTGCCAGTAGCTAGCTGGGTGACTTTGTGCAAGCCACTTAATCTCTGTGTGTCTCATTTTTTCATCTGTGTGACTGAAATAATGATGGTACCTACCTCAAAGGGTTGTTTTGAAGTGAATTAATGTAATGCACTCAGAACAGAACCTGACGCACAATTAGCCACTATCATTTATTCCAGCCTTCCCCTGCTTCTCTCTGAGCTCAGAACTTTCCTTCCCTCTTAGTGTGCTGAGGGGTAGGGAAGGGGGACAGAAGAAGGAAGAGCCCGTCCTTGCTCTTGGCCCTACTTTTCCCCCAGGATGCAGCTGTGCTTCTGCCCTGGGAGTCCAGAGACTGGAATCTGGCAGAGACCAGCCCTGCCACTCACTAACCAAAAGACGTTAAGCAGCCACATCCACCCAGCCCTCGTTCTCTTTATCGGTAAAATGGGTGTTGTCATTTCTGTCCTGCTATCAGTATTCCGCTACCAGTATTGTGAGATGAGAGTGATCTTGTGGGAATGAAAGGCCTTCCCAGGTGGCGAGAGCAATGCCTGGGACTCCTCAGACCTCATGACCCAGCACCTCAAGGGGTCTCCCTGGCCCAGGAGGGGCCTCCAGGACCTGCTCCAGTGCTGTGGCTGGTGTTCCTGTTCTAATTGGTTGGTGCCCTGCTGTATCAGTGGTTAAGCGTTTTGTATACCACCCCTTAGATCAAGACAAGAGATCTGAGTTCTAGTCCCAGGCTTGCACTTCCTTGCTGTGTGAACTTAAGCAAATCCTGCCCCTCTCTGAGCCTCGTTTTCCTCTTCCATAATATAAGAATGGATTTATCTCCCTGACAGAAATATTGTGACGGAAGATATGAGTCAGTGCCTGTCGAGGCGTGTTGGAAACTGTGGTGAAGTGCCTACTTGGTTTTTGTTTGTTTGTTTGTTTGATCGTTTTTTAGATCATAGAGAAACGGCGCCGGGACCGCATCAACAGCAGCCTTTCTGAACTGCGGCGCTTGGTCCCCACTGCCTTTGAGAAGCAGGTATGTGACATTGCTGAATGTGCTAGAGGAAATGCTGTGCGGGTGGCAGATAAGGTTCACTTCTCACGGCATCTCATCAATTGGTGGCAGCTGCCTGAAGTGCTGTGATATCACTTACTGATACCTGTTGATGGCCAAGAATATGGGCGATGGAAATTCATATTTATTGAGGTGTCTCAGGGGTTGTGGCTTTATGTCCATCATCTGGTTGCACTGAATGCTCAGAATGACCCTGAAGGGTAGGGATTATTATGCACATTGCACAGGTAAGGAAACTGAAGCACAGAGAGGTGAAGTAACTTATACCAGATCACACAGCTAGTAAGTAGCAGAGCGGAACTGGACACAGACTGTGTGATCCTAAAGTGCCCTATCCCTCTGCACTACTGACATTTCCAGAACTATCTGAAAGTAGAACAGGCCACTTGGGGAGTGAAGTCTCTGTCATTGAACATGCTGGGGTGGAGGGACTCCAGTGGGGAGTCAGACAGTTGAATCAATCAGACAACCTCAAAGATTCTCACCGTGTGCGCCAAGGCACGGTCATAGGTCCTGTGTCTTCCTTTCTGCCCGAGAGAACAAGTCAGTCATTCCACAGACATTCACTAAAACCTTCACAAGTCCAGCCATGAACTAGACCTGGCACCTACCTTCAAGGGACTCACATGGAGAGTCCGACCCTCAGGTTTCATCTGGGAGACCAGGTGATGCTGGAGGCTTCGGAAACTCTCCTCAAGAGAGAGCATGGAGGAAGAGCAGATGCTTTGGAATAAGACAGTGAGCCCGATCTTGGGTGTGTGTGGCGAGTGTGAAGTTGGATTCCCAGTAAAGCTGGTCTAGGAGGCAGGTGAGGATGCAGGAGTGACATTCTGGTGATGGTGCCTGAAGCCATGGAGGTAGAGGGGACCCTCCGAGGAGAGGGCACAGAGTGAGAAAAAAGTGAGCCATCACCCACCGGGAACACCACCGTTTTAAGAGACAGAGCAAGAAAGCAGGGGAGGAGGGCTTTCAGGAAGGATGGTCAGCAATGTGGTGGACAGGTGGGCTAAAATGAGAACTGAAGAGAATGGGTTAGATTTGGTGGGCTTGGCTAAAGCGGAAGCCCAATCGCAGGCAGTGCTGGAGTGGGGGGAGGAGGAGAAAACTGAGGTCGTGAGTGCTGATGACGCCATGCTGGGGAGGTGGGCGACAGAGGTCAGCTGAAGGCCGCCACTCTTCTGTCTTCTGTACACACAGGGCTCCTCCAAGCTGGAGAAAGCCGAGGTCCTGCAGATGACGGTAGATCACTTGAAAATGCTCCACGCCACTGGCGGGACAGGTACTGATGCTCTACTTTCCGGGAACCATTCCTGCAGCCAATATTTGGGGGCTGGGCCCTGGGGATACTTTGGTGAGCAAAGTAGATGTGGTTCCTGACCTCCTGGAGCTCACAGTTCACAGAGGGGCTGAAGCAGATCCAGGTGGAACGTTCGCAAAGCTTGTCTTTCTTCTTTTGGCATTGCCCTCTCGGCTTTTATTGTCTCCATGTGTCCTAGCCCTTTCCTCAACTCCACTCCTTCCAGCCTTGAACCCTGGAGGAGCTCTTCCACAGCAGATTACTTATCCCCCTGCCACCGGGGCCTCGTTAAGCATCAGCCTGAATAAGCTTGTTCTCACTGTGATCCCAGTGGGAGGGACACGCCTGAGATTTTTAGCCGCAGCGCTTCGCTAGTGTGCCAACCCACCGGTCTAGGCTTCTGAGCTCTTGTGTCCTTGGCAGTGCTGTGGGGATATGTCACGCTCACCGCTGAAGATCAGTCGTGGGATTTTAGTAGGATGCGAGTGTTAACGCATTCTGTTATTCTGAGCTAGTCCACTACAAAAAAGTCACGGAACTGTGGCTTTTAAAAAACTTCTGGACAGATGGAAATTCTGTGTGCCTGAAGCCGCTCTGTGTGTTTTTGGTAATTTCACAATTGGGAAACCTTGAAAGCTCCACTGACCTTGGCTCCAAAGCCTTAAGTCTTGAAGCCTTAACTTGCTACCCCCTCAAGGGGATGGTTGCATGTTAAGCAGCCCAGCCTGGTGCCTCTCAAGCCTCGGTGGGCAGCAGTGTCATGTAGGGGCAGACAGCGTCGTGGGTCACAGCCCAGAGATCCTGAGGCAGTAAGTCTGGATTGGAGTTTAGGAATCTGCCAATTTAGCAAACACGCCCGATGACCCCGCTGCAGGTGGTCACTTGGAGAACTTGTGCCAAAGGAATGCACAGCCAACAGTGGAAACTGTCTCTAATCAACCAGTGGGGGAGGAATTTCAAGCTACATTTATATTTATCCAATTAAAAGAAGACTAGTGACTAATATTTGGGCAGCATTTTATAGTTTTCCAAATGCTTTCTCTAATGTTATCTCATTTGATTCTCACAAGAACCTCGAGGGTGGGTGTTGCTATCTTCACTGTTTTCTGGCTAAGGGCTGGTGGGAAGACAGAGAATTGGCTTAGAGCACTGGATTTGTATTTGAACACTGAGTTTACTACTTACTAGCTTTAGGACCTTGGACAAATGATTTAAGCTCTTTATTCCTCAATTTCCTTATCTCTAAAATGGGAATAATGCTAGGGGGTTTTTAAATATAAATTTATTTATTTATGGCTGCGTTGGGTCTTCGTTGCTGCACACGGGCTTTCTCTAGCTGCGGAGAGTGGGGGCTGCTCTTCGTTGCGGTGCGCGGGCTTCTCATTGCAGTGGCTTCTCTTATTGTGGAACACCGGCTCTAGGCATGTGGGCTTCAGTAGTTGTGGCACGCGGGCTCAGTAGTTGTGGCTCGCGGGCTCTAGAGCGCAGGCTCAGTAGTTGTGGTGCACGGGCTTAGTTGCTCTGTGGCATGTGGGATCTTCCTGGACCAGGGCTCGAACCCATGTCCCCCGCATTGGCAGGAGGATTCTTAACCACTGTCCCATAATGGTTATAATGATAGGTTTTTATGAGGTTTAAATTAGCTAATGCAAATTAAGTGCTTAGGAAGAACTCAGCAAATGTTAGTGAAAAAAGAACAGTGAACAGAAAAAGGTGATGGGATTTGCTCAAAGTTGCACAACTAAGTAGACAGCAGAACCAGGTCTCGCCACCTAGGAGGCCTGGCTCCAAACATCATCTCCTGCCAAGCTGTTCCTCTGTGGGGACCTCAGCCGTGAACCAGGGACCCGATATTTGCTACCATGGTCGTGAAGCCTGTGCTCACTGGGGCTGTTCTGTCTTTGCCCAGAAGGTGGTCGAGAGACGGGCAGGTGTGGAGAAGCTGTGAGAATGTGAATACTTCCGCAGGCAGTCCCCCTGGTCATCCCACACTGAAGTCAAGCCAAAGACAGGGTCCCTGGCCTGAGGGCAGCAGCTGAGGACCAGAGTGGGGTCCTGCTTTCTAGACTGCCCTTTGGGCTGGGGAACAAACTCGAATGCTTATGGGGGCCAAACCAGTCATATAAATGATAGCTAACTTTTTATTTGTTAAGCATTTCTGTGCACCATTTCATTTCGCCCTCCCATCTATACATGGCAGGGCCTGTTAATATACCCATTTCACAGCTAAGGAAATCAAGGCATAGAGAAATTGAGACTTGTCCATAGTCAGGGCGCTAGTTAAGTCCATGGTCAAGCAGCTGGCCCCCAAAGACCTCATGCTTCATTGCTACCCTATGCTCTCCTCTCCAAGGAGTCTCCCATCTCTGATGGCTGCTGCCGCCACCTCCCAGCATCTGCCCCCATCAACAGGCAGGGCTGTTCTACACCTCCACGTGCACAACGCTTTCACATCTGGCAAGGGTCTATTTAAATGAAGTTATCTGGGCCGCAGATTTCCTTCTTTGGGTTAATCATGAATGGTGATGAAGATAACACTTTACATTTTATAATGCTTCATAGTTTAGTGAACTCATTTGATTCGCACAGTCCACCCGCTCTACCCCAGTAGGGATGATTACTCCCACTTTAAGATGGTGAGACTGGGGCTCAGAGGGGTGAGGTGACATGCCCAAGGTCACCCAGGGGGTGAGTGGGGAAAGCAGGTCCAGAGCTCAGACAGCCTGACCCCAGGCTCAGTGCTTGTCTCCTGCCCGGCATATGCCCTCATCGTGCCTCACTTTGCAGGATTCTTTGATGCTCGAGCCCTGGCGGTCGACTTCCGCAGCATCGGTTTTCGGGAGTGCCTTACCGAGGTCATCAGGTACCTGGGGGTCCTGGAAGGGCCCAGCAGCCGTGCAGACCCGGTGCGGATTCGCCTTCTCTCCCACCTCAACAGCTATGCAGCCGAGATGGAACCTTCACCCACAGCCGCTGGGCCCCTGGCCTTTCCTGCCTGGCCCTGGTCTCTCTCCCATAGCTGTCCAGGGCTATCTGCCCCGAGCAGCCAGCTCACCATCCTAGGAAGAGTGCCCGGCCCCATCCTCCCCAGCACCTCCTCTCTGGCTTACCCCATCCCGGCCTTCAGAACCACTCCCTTGCGCAGAGCCACTGGCACCGTCCTGCCAGCCCGGAGGAATTTGCTGCCCAGTCGAGGGGCATCTTCTACCCGGAGGGCCCGCCCCCCCGAGAGGCCAGCCGCGCCCCTGCCCCCCAGGGGCAGGGCTGCCAGGGGCAGCCACGTGGCGCCGCCCCTGCGATCCTCTTCCCCCGCCCCTCCTGGCGTTGTGGGGTCTCCTGCTTATGTGGCTGTTCCTGGGTCTTCCCAGGGGGCAGCTGGGAGGCCAGCAGGAGCTGTGCTCTGCCACTCCTGGGTCTCTGAAATTACTGAAGTCGGGGCTTTCTGAGCTGGCTTTGCCCCCAGGAATGAGGAGAGTTCTTGTTCCAGGAGCTCTAAAAATGGCTTTGCCTTTTCTGCTCTGCTTTCTGGACTGGTTCATATATGAAGGTGTCTTCTTTACCCAGCAGAGGCCCCCTTCTCCTTTGGCCCCTCTCCCCTCCTCACTGCTTGTCCCAGCTCCTCCTGGGGCTGTTCTGATCTCAGAAGCTTGGTCTCATTTTTTCCCTGGAGAGATGAGTCCCAGGAGAGCCCCCCAAGAGCTGTACCCAGACCCCTCTCCTGCCCCAGGACACATGGGCAGTAGGCATTAATCTCAGGTTGGGGAACAACGCTTTAACCTAAAAGGCACAATGACCTAAGGCACGCTGCTCCCCTAGAGATCAGACCCCAGCCAAGAGCAGTGACTGCCTGGCTGCAGCCTTCCCAGGCCCCCAGGGGTCAGAACATAGCGTCTGTCTCACTTCCTGAGACAGTAACCACACAGGGGCCACAAAGAGGTCTCCTGGGAACCCTGTCTGCCCCAGCCCACCTGTCTCCCGCCCACTGCAGTGAACCCAGAACAGACCTGCTGTCCACCACGGCCAAGGCTGGGGACTGGGAGCCCAGCAGGGCCCGTTCCTGCCCTCTTGCCAGCTGCCGACACCTACCCTCCAGCTGACCAGCAGCTCCCTGCACACAGCTGGGAGGTCTCTGGGCTCCGTGACAGGGTGTACTCACCACCAGGCCTCGGACGGCGTCCCCAGACAGGAGCCAGGCTTCAGCCACAGAGAACCCAGCTCCCTGCCTACCACACGGTCACCGTCCTCCAGGCCTGTGGTCCCGTCAGATGCACAGTGCGGAGGCCATGTTCCCACATGATGGCGCCCCGAGAGGAATCCTCTTGGGATTCAGCACCAGACGTTTGTGCTGCCTGTTTTGCATCCGACTCACGGGGCCCAGACTGCTGGGACCGCCAAGGGCTGTCAGGCTGGACGAAAATAACTGCGAGGAGGGCCGAGAGGAAGGACAGTCAGAGGCAGCTCAGCCCTTCAAGGTCACACAGTGGGGTCGAGGGCCTGAGATCCTGTTCACCCGGGATTCCACGCGGCTGGCTCTGCTCAAAGGCCATGCATGGCGTTACCCAGCTTCAGCCCAGGCCGCTTTCCCTCTAACAGAGGGAACTAATGGCCCAGAGACCTTTCCCAGTGGAGCAGCAGGAACTGGACAAGACAGGGGCAGACCAGAAGCGACACACAGCCGGCCCAGTGCTGCCAGATGGTTGTTAAAATGTAGAAACACTTCTGTGCTCCCTGACAAACCTGCTTTCCCTGAGTGTTCCCACCACATGGCTTTTCTCCCAGGACCCCGTGCTGGTTAACGCCTGGCCGACCCAAGGCCGTGGGGCCCTCCAGCTGGCAAGTCACTGGTGCTTATTCCGCACTGGTTATTAAATGCTTCTGATGTCACCTCTGGAGGAGTCTCCCACTCCCGTCCTTTGATGGAACTACCCTCCCCAGAGGCTGTATTGAGGAGACTCCATGAGCTCAAACAGTAGATTCTGCAAAAGCCCTGGGGAAAAAGGGCCGTTTCAGAGAAGTGGGTGGGAGGGCAGAGGTCATTTAAATGACCCAGAAAGCTCTTTCGAGAAGGCAAATTCCTCAAGGAGGGATAAAGAACTAAAGTAATTCTTTTACTCCTCAGTGTGAGGTCGTTGGATCAGATATTGCTCTCCTGGACCCATCTGCGTGTCCAGCAGGGAGGAGGTGTCATTTCAGGGAGTGGGTCACTGGCCAGGAGTGCTCCTGAGGCAGACAGAGATAGAGGGAAATAGCGAGGGAGGGAAGGCAGTCAGCAGGCTCCCAGGATTTGGGAGCAGGGCG